AGGAGATGCTGGTCAATCACCAGCTGCTGTGTACACACTGCACCCACCCTGCCCCCAGCTCCAGCCAGTCTCTGTATGCAACTATGTGAGAGACCAGAGCGAGAAGCTCCCAGCAGAGCCCCACTCAAACCAGGAGAGGTGATAGAATCACTGCTGTTGGTATTAAGCCACTAAATTTGGGGGGCAATTTCATCATAGGCTCCAACGACCTTCCCCCTCACTCCTGTCAGAAACTCACCTCAAAGATGACACTGTTTCTATGCTGCTGAATGGGAAAAGACACAAGAGCGAAGTGGTCCAGGACGGCCCTGTTGGCATCTAGAAGCTGGACGGTTAGTTGATACATACAGTCAGTGCCTTGTCGGTCTGTCCACCTGTGAGAGAAGGGAAACCCTGAAGATGGACTTCCACCTCCATTTATTTCTTTGGGTGTCAAATGGCTTCCCTATGGATGCAAACCAATATGTGGTCCCTGGGACTAGCACCAGTGTCACCTGGGAGCCTGACCCCACTGCACACCCAATGAATCCATCTGCACAAAACCAGCTCCCCAGCTGGCCTGCCTGCACAACTGCTTCAGAAGTGATGACCTAGAGCAGAGCTCTTCACAGCACCTCCTCCCCGTGTTATTTCTTATCCATGTTTCACTGGTGGCAAATGATGTACAATGTGTACAACAATGATATCTGAGATACAATTTTCTTATCAGTCCTTTAAAAGGATCCAGGGGAATCCAAATCGATGATGGGATACCCAGCGACATTCAAAGAAACAACATCCAATGACCGTCAATGGTAAATGGGTAAATTATGGCATATTCACATAATGGAACATTATACAGCCATGACAGTAAAGTAACTGCAGCTACATGCAATTATGGGTGAACTTACATGCTATTGAGAGAAGCCAGATACAAACTATATACTGTATGGCTCCATATATGTTAAGTATAAAAATGCACAAAATTCATCTACTGTAACAGAATTCAGAATTGTGCTACACTTGGGTTGGTAGTGATGGGGAAAGGGGCATGAGGGATGCTGAGGGTGGGGTTTTCTGGCATTTTCTGTTGTTGATGGGGGGGCTAGTATGGTGAATGTCTTCACTTTATAATAATTCATTCAGTTGCACTCCCAAGAAATGTTCATCTTTGATGTTAGAAATTAAAAATTTAAGAGTAATGAGCTGTATAAATTCACAAACATGTATCTACTTTACAGACACTTCACATCACTCCACTTCTCAGCGTCTATTTTAATTCTCCACAGAATTTTGTTCTCATGTTAATATATTTTCATGTTCTTCGGATTTACCTTTCACACTATTTGGTGGCAACCACATACAAAGAATATACATTAAAAATTTTAAATTTTCTGTGACCATAAAGCTCTCAATGTTAACACTTTTTCTTTTGGACTGAATTATTAGCTACTTGTAATTTACAGACACTGCCCCAGATTGGAGTCATCTGGAATCTTGAAGATACTTTGTAGAAAAGAATTTAGCCTGGTCCAAATGTATGGCCTTTGCCCTCTGCTTCTTTGGAATATTATGCTGACAGGAATGTCTGTTTGCCTGGGGACCTTGGGACATACTGGATGGCCTGCCAATGTGGTTTGGTAGCAATTGGCTGCATCCACATGGGTAGTCTTATAATGGGCGCCAGCCACTCCAGGAGGACTAACAAGATGACATGGGATGCATCACACAGTGTCAGTTGACTGGAGGCTGAGCTGAGACACATGAGAAAGCCCCGATAAAGGCTCAGGTGAGCTTCCCTGGTGGCAGTATCCCATGCACATGTCACACATGATGCTAGGACAGTCTTGTGTCCCGACTCCAAGGGCAGAAGAGAGCAATGGAAGTCTGGCATTGGATTCTTCCCTTGGATGCTATCCGGTGACCTTCCCCTTGGCTGATTTTCATCTTTATCTTTTCCCTGTAATAAACTAAATTATGTATACTAGTTTTCAGTGAGTGCTATGTCTTTCTAGTCAATTACTGAGCCTGAGGGTGGTTGTAGGAACCCCCTACACTGGCCACTGAAAGGCGGTCTTGGGATTGTGCCCTCTAACTTTGTAGTTGGCTATAAAATTCTGAGAGATGTTGATGCCTGGCTCCCTCACCCCAGATACTTTGATTTAATGGGTATGCAGTGGGACCTAGGCATCGGGAGCTTTATACAGTCCTGGGCGATGTCTGGCAATATTTGGGAGTCACTGATTATTACCATGAAATGGTACATCATTGCTCAAAGTAACACAAACATGCTACAATAGTTTGATAAAAGATTAAATTACAAAGAGAAGTTGATTGCAAATTCATCTGCTAGTGATAGGGAAAACTGAGACACATTGACTGACCCAAGGCCACAAAGCTGCAAAGCCAGAGTGTGAACCTGGGAGGTCTGGCTCCAGAATCTGAACTCTTACACAACCATCTGGAATTGTCCCCTCTTAAAGCAAGGAGCATCTCATCCACAGACAAGTCTAAGTTGGGCCCAAGTCCTCTGTATTGGACCTCACCTGACATCTTCCAATGCAGTTCCCTTTGGGGGCTAGGAGAGGGGTTCAGGGAGGGCACTCTGCCAACTCCTAAAGCTCTGATGGTGGTTAAGTCATTTCCTGACCTGCTATATCCTAAGGGGTTGTTGTTAGAAGGCCTGAAGGAAGCCACCCATGAAAAGTCAGCACTCAGCAAAAGGGCTGTTTTTATCATCACACTCACCAGTGAGAGACACAAATCTCAGCCTTGCCACTATCCAGGAGTTCCAGCCACAGACCCTCCTCCTCCAGGTCCAACGTTTCCTTCTTGTGACACCATCTATGAAAGAGGGAGAAAGGTGATGAGAACAGGTAAGGACTCACAACCGCCCTGGTCCCTGGAGAATAGACGCATTTACCTGTAGGTAGATGGGAAGCTGGTCTGGGAAGGCGCCCCAGGCAGGACCTCATAGTTTTCCTCCTCTGCCCAGCCATCCCCACCGCTCAGCATCGTCCACATCTGGAAGGCATCTGTTAAAAAGGTTTGTGCCCAAGTTCCTTTCTGCCCACCAGCCCAGGAATAAGTCCCAGGGGATTCCGGCGCAGCCTTGCCTCTCTGCATCCTCCCACCGGCTCCCTTGAGGACGATCTGCTTCCTGGGTTCCCCACCTGTGCCCTTAGGGTTCTGAAAGAGATTGCGTCCTATGGGTCCGCGCGCGCAGACAGCTGCGGACGACCGGCCACAGGGCG